TATTCAGCACATATAAAAAGTACCACATATAAAAACCTTCCTATATGAAGCTGGCCTAATAAATCACCATCAGTGACAGTAACTGTTTTTTAGATCAAACTCCTGGAAAATTATAGATGTGCTAGCAAGCATAACAAACACGTGTATTTAATAGATGCCATTTGATAATATTAATGACAATAAGTAACAGCATTCGGATATTTTACGGTTTGTGTTGCATGCTGTAATTTAGCCTCATAAAAATACTGTGTAGAACTTAAAGTATAATAAAAAAAAATTTACATGGAAAATTACATTTAAAAAAAAATTTGTACTCGATAATTTGTCAAGGAAATGATTGGAAAGATGTGAGAATTCAATATGAATACATATATTAATAATATTCAAACTTTTTTGACTGGATCAATTTTATGTCAGGAAATATAATCCACTACGTAAAGAAAAATAAAAAGCATGTGAATGTCAAAAAAAAAAAAATTACTGTGATATGGGTGGTAAAGATGTCATCACCATTTTATAGATGAGGAAAACAGAGGCTTACAAGTTGAAGTCAAGACACAGAACTCATTCAAATCCACGACTAGTGACTCACTAGTGACTCTGTTCCTCAGGATCTTTCAAGGCCTGGCCCCTTGTCAGCTCATTCAAATCCACGACTAGTGACTAATTAGATCAGATTTCCTTAGGGTTGGTTTTTTTTCTTTTAAAGATACGATCTTGCTCCATCACCCAGGCTGGAGTGCAGTGATACAATCATGGTTCACTGCAGCCTTGATCTCCCGGGCTCAACTGATCTTTCTGCCTCAGCCTCCCGAATAGCTGGGACCACAGGTGTGCCCTACCGTGCCTGGCTAATTTTTTTGTGTGTGTGGATACATGGTTTCTTCGTGTTGCCCGGGCTGGTCTGAATTCCAGGGCTCACGTGATTCTCCCCCTGCTTAGTTAGCTTCCCAAAGTGCTGGGATTACAGGCATGAGCCACTGCCCTCAGCTAGATTTCCTTAGTTTTGACCTGAGGAAAATACCGTCCTTTTTCGTTTGCCACTTGATCCCATCATGTAGAGCACTTGCCTGACACATAGTGACTTTGCACAGATGTTGTTGAAATAAGATGCTCTGCCTGCCCTTCAGTTGGTATAGTAGAGTAGGGAAGGATCAAGCCATGGTGCAATTGACACCCTCACTAGCACTTAGGAATTTGGAAGCAGATGGAGCGGTTTGAACCCTGGCCCTACCATCCACCAACCCTATGACTTGGGCAAGTCACCCAGCCTCTCAACCTGTTTTCTCACCTGTGAAAAGAAGATAATAATAATTCCTAGGCCAGGCGTGGTACCTCACACCTGTAATCCCAGCACTTTGGGAGGCCAAGGCGGGTGGATCACGAGGTCAGGAGTTCAAAACCAGCCTGGCCAAGATGGTGAAACCCCATCTCTACTAAAAATACAAAAATTAGCTAGGCATGGTGGTGAGCACCTGTAATCCCAGCTATTCGAGAGGCTGAGGCAGGAGAATTGCTTGAACCTGGGAGGCGGAGGTTGCAGTGAGCTGAGATTGCACCACTGCACTCCAGCCTGGGTGACAGAACGAGACTCCATCTCAAAATAATAATACTACTACTAATAAATAATAATAATTTCTACCTCATTGAGGTAGGGACTAAATGAAAGAACACATGAGAGTTTCCAGACTCTGGCCTCACCCATGAGAAACTCTCAGTAAATGTCTTCTTAGAGACCATGCAGGATAGAATGTGATACCTGTGATGTGAGCTACAGAGTGTCACTGAGAGTCAGAAAAGAGAGGATGGCCTCAAGTTGGGGTGGGGGTTAGGAAAGCTTTCCTAGAGATGGCAACATCTGTGATGGACCCAAAAGAATGGGTCTGTTCTTACCTGAGGGACAGTGATGAGAGAATAAAACACCAGGTTGAGAGACTATATCTCACAAAGCTACAGAGGTGGGAACGTGTGAGAATGTCTTTTGTAGGAAAGAAAATCACCCAATATAAGTGGACTATAATCTAATTTGGCAAGACAACAGGACAAGAGCGAGAAAGCTATAAGGCCATAAATGGTTTTGACCGATAATGTATTTCAGCTTTTCCAAAAGTTTTCAAGTATAGAAAAAAGAACAGTACAGTGAACACCGATATAACCCCCTCTCATTTCTACAATTATTAACATTCTTTATTTGCTTTCTGTGTAGAAATCAACATATATTATTTTTTGCCATATCATTAAAAATTAATTGTAGCTAGCATGACTTCATTTTTTTGAGACAGAGCTTCGCTCTTGTCGCCCGGGTTGGAAAGCAATGACACGATCTGGGGTCACTGCAACCTCTGCCTCCCAAGTTCAAGCAATTCTCCTGCCTCAGCCTCCTGAGTAGCAGGGTTTACAGGCACCCGCCACCTTGCCCAGCTCATTTTTGTATTTTTTAAAATTATACTTTTAAGTTCTGGGATACATGTGCAGAACATGCAGGTTTGCCACATAGGTATACACTTGCTGTGTTGGCTTGCTGCACTCATCATCCCGTCATCTACATTAGTTATTTCTCCTAATACTATCTCTCTCCTGGCCCCCCACCCACCAACAGGCCCCACTGTGTGATCTTCCCCTCCCTGTGTCCATGTGTTCCCAGTGTTGAACTCCCACCCATGAGTGATAACATGCAGTATTTGGTTTTCTGTTCCTGTGTTAGTTTGCTAAGAATGATGGTTTCCAGCTTCATCTGTGTTCCTGCAAAGGACATGAACTCATCCTTTTTTATGTCTGCATAGTATTCCATGGTGTATATGTGGCCCATTTTCTTTATCCAGTCTATCATTGATGGGCATTTAGATTGGTTCCAAGTCTTTGCTATTGTGAACAGTGCTGTAATAAACATACGTGTGCATGTGTCTTTATGGTAGAATGATTTATAATCCTTTGGGTATATACTCAGTAATGGGATTGCTGGGTCAAATGGTATTTCTGGTTCTAGATCCTCGAGGAATCACCACACTGTCTTCCCCAATGGTTGAACTAATTTACACTCCCACCAACAGTGTAATAGTGTTCCTATTTCTCCACATCCTCTCCAACATCTGTTGTTTCCGGACTTTGTAATGATTGCTATTCTAACTGGTATGAGATGGTATCTCATTGTGGTTTTGATTTGCATATCTCTAATGACCAGTGATGATGAGCATTTTTTCATATTTTTGTTGGCTGCATAAATATCTTCTTTTGAGAAGTGTCTGTTCATATCCTTTGCCCACTTTTGAGTGGGGTTGTTTGTTCTTTTCTTGTAAATTTGTTTAAGCTCCTTGTAGATTTTGGATATTAGCCCTTTGTCAGATGGCTAGATTGCAAAAATTTTCTCTCATTCTGTAGGTTGCCTGTTCACTCTGATGATAGTTTCCCTTGCTGTGCAGAAGCTCTTTAGTTTTAATTAGATCCAATTTGTCAATTTTGGTTTTTGTTGCCATTGCTTTTGGTGTTTTAGTCATGAAGTCCTTGCCCATGCCTATGTCTTGAATGCTATTGCCTAGGTTTTCTTCTAGGGTTTTTATGATTTTAGGTCTATGTTTAAGTCTTTAATCCATCATGAGTTAATTTTTATGTAAAGTGTAAGGAAGGGTTCCAGTTTCAGTTTTCTGCATATTAGCCAGTTTTCCCAACACCATTTATTAAGTAGGGAATCCTTTCCCCATTGCTTGTTTTTGTCAGGTTTGTCAATGATCAGATGGTTGTAGATGTGTAGTGTTACTTCTGATGCCTCTGTTCTGTTCCATTAGTCTATATATATGTTTAGGTACCAGTACCATGCTGTTTTGGTTACTGTAGCCTTGTAGTATAGTGTGAAGTCAGGTAGCATGATGCCTCCAGCTTTGTTCTTTTTGCTTAGTATTGTCTTGGGTATACTGGTTCTTTTTTGGTTCCATATGAAATTTAAAGGAGTATTTTCTAATTCTGTGAAGAAAGTCAATGGTAGCTTGATAGGGATAGCATTGAATCTATAAATTACTTTGGGCAGTATGGCCATTTTCACAATATTGATTCTTCCTATCCATGAGAATGGAATGTTTTTCCATTTGTTTGTGTCCTCTCTTATTTCTTGAGCAGTAGTTTGTAGTTCTCCTTGAAGACGTCCTTCACATCCTTATAAGTTGTATTTCTAGGTATTTTATTCTCTTTGTAGCAATTGTGAATGGGATTTCACTCATGATTTGGCTCTCTGTTTGTCTGTTGTTGGTGTAAAGGAATGCTTGTGATTTTTGCACATTGATTTTGTGTCCTGAGACTTTACTGAAGTTGCTTATCAGCTTAAGGAGATTTTGGGCTGAGACAATGGGGTTTTCTTATTTATTTATTTATTTATTTAGAGACGGAGTCTTGCTCTGTTGCCCAGGCTATAGTGCAGTAGCACAGTCTCGGCTCACTGCAGGCTCTACCTCCCGGGTTCACGCCATTCTCCTGTCACGATGGTGTTTTCTAAATCCACAATCATGTCATCTGCAAACAGAGACCATTTGACTTCCTCTCTTTTTATTTGAATACCCTTTATTTCTTCTTCTTGCCTGATTGCCGTGGCCAGAACTTTCAATACTATGTTGAATAGGAGTAATGAAAGAGGACATCCTTGTCTTGTGCCAGTTTTCAAAGGGAATGCTTCCAGCTTTTACCCATTCAGTATGATATTGGCTCTTGGTTTGTCATAAAAAACTCTTATTATTTTGAAACACGTTCCATCAATATGTAGTTTATTGAGTTTTTAGCATGAAGTGGTGTTGAATTTTATCTAAGGCCTTTTCTGCATCTATTGAGATAATCCTATGGTTTTTGTCATTGGTTCTATTTATGTGATGGATTATGTTTATTGATTTGTGTATGTTGAACCAGCCTTGCTTCTCAGGGATGAAGCCAATTTGATCGTGGTGGATGAGCTTTTTGATGTACTGCCAGATTGGGTTTGCCAGTATTTTATTGAGGATTTTCGCGTTGATGTTCATCAGAAAGATACGAAACGCTTCACAAATTTGCATTTCATCCTTGCACAGGGGCCGTGCTAATCTTCTCTGTGTCATTCCAATTGTAGTATATGTGTTGCCGAAATAAGCACTAATTTTTGTATTTTTAGTAGAGACGGGGTTCACCATGTTGGCCAGGCCGGTCTCAAACTCCTGACCTCAGGAGATCCGCCCACCTCGGCCTCCCAAAGTACTGGGATTACAGGTGTGAGCCACCACACCTGGCCTATCATGACATTTTAACCCTCAATACTTTAGCATGCATCTCCAAACAATAAGGAAGCTTCTTTTTAAAAGTACAACACCATTATACCAAACAAAATTAACAATAGTCCCCAAATATTACTTAATATCAGTCTATAGTCAAACTTCCTAAATTCATTTCCCAGGTCTTTAGTGTTTTAACAGAATTTTAAACCAGAATCCAGGCAAAAGGCTGTGTATTGTATTAAATACACAATTACGTCATCTGCAAACAGACAATTTGACTTCCTCTCTTTTTATTTGAATACCCTTTATTTCTTTTTCTTGCCTGATTGCCCTGGCCAGAACTTTCAATACTATGTTGAATAGGGGTGACAATTTAGCCAAATTGTCTCTGCTTGCAGATGACATCATTGGGTATTGCATTGTTATGCCTCTTACATCTCTTTAAATCTAAAATTCCAACTATGATATTGAGACTTTTAGGCTTTGGAACATTGAAAAGATTATGGAGCTTTCCCCCAACTCAGATAGCCCTCTAACATGAAAATAATTCAAAAATAGAAGCAACACTGAATTTCAAAGTAAACGTAAGGAAGTCCAAATAAATTCAGATTTTTTTTTTCTCTCACCAGGTTGGTGAGTTTGATACTAGTTTTGCAATTTCAGGTAATCACATATTTAAACTCAGCATATGCTCGCTTGCTTTGAATTAAATAACCCAGCCTTGGACTCACAGAATTCAATAGAGATGCAGTGGCTCATTGTTCTCTGTTGAGCTGAATGTCTAGTATGTCTAAACTTCACAGATATGAAACCACATTCTTTTTTTTTGTTTTTTTTTTTCTGAGATAGAATCTCACTCTGTTGCCCAGGTTGGAGTGCCGTGGCGCAATCTTGGCTCACTGCAACCTCCACCTCCCAGATTCAAGCAATTCTCCTGCCATCGCCTCCTGAGTAGCTGGGATTATAGGTGCGTGCCACCACACTGGGTTAGTTTTTGTATTTTTGGTAGAGATGGGGTTTCACCGTGTTGGTCAGGCTGGTCTCGAACTCCTGACCTCATGATCCACCCACTTCGGCCTCCCAAAGTGCTGGGATTACAGGCGTGAGCCACCACGCCCGGCCTGGAACCCCTTTCTTAATAATGCTGTGTAGACCCACAGAAGTGATTTTTGACTTCATTGTATTTAGAGGTTTTTTGAACACTAGGTTCCAACCTTGGTGGAATTTCATAGAGAATTTCATAATTTTTCTTTAAGGAAAAACATCAGATAGGATTGTGGGCAGAACCATAGTATGAAAACCCATATCCTGCAATGAGAAACTCTTACCTGGAAGCGGGAAGGGAGTAGAACGCAGAGTGTGCAGGGCGTTGCCAGGCCTTCTATAACCAGGAGTGCCCTGCCTAGGCCATGGGATAGTTGGGCACCTTCTTTTTGGCCCTGCCTGTATCCCGGAAACCTGTGGCCAAGCAAGTGCCTGGAATTGCTGCAGGCGTTGCAGTGGGAGTGAAATGCCCACCAGCTGGGGCTACATCTTCTACAACTCAGGGAATATAACTTGGTATTCATTGGAACTCCACTGAAGAGAGGTCGGGTGCTTTGGGAGTGCTTTCTTGCAAATCTGTGCCCTCTAATCACCTTTTCCTAATGTTCTTTCCTCGTTCTGTTTTGGAGGTGGGGCTCCTCCAAGGATCATTTCTTTTCCACCTCACCTTCAGGTGCACAGTGTATGATGCTTTAATTTATTTCATTTCACCTTGTTGTGGAACTCAGCCCATCCCACCTCTGCTGTGAGAAAAGCATTTCCATCTCTGTTTCAACTTTCATGTGGTTCTGTTGACCCACTTGGAAGAGCTCCAGTGTAGTGCCTGCTTGTTTTTTTCTATCTGTCCTTAATTTGGTTTGCCTTTTATTGTATTCCAACTGAATGGATTCTTTCTTTTAAGGGAAAGGAACCTGAGAAAAACAATACTTGTAATGGCGACTGCTTGTTAAGGGTAATTGCTGTTTCATGTTAATTTGCATGTTAAAATGAGAATATAGGGAATTGCTAAATTCACCAACCTGTTCTATCCCAAGGCTAGTCCTTTTAAGTATATTTGTTGCTTAAATAAAGATGGAGCTGTGCAGAATGGAAATGTCCAAATATACAGTTTTTTTGTGCATGTATATATATAGAGAGAGAGCATTTAAAATTTTTATTTCCATCAGCAAGAGACATTATACAATACATGGAAATTATAGAAAAGCAGAAAGAAGAAACCCGGAGACAACTAGCATTAACATTCTGTGAAATTATGTCTAGTCATTTCAGTCTACATGTTATATACTCTTTAAATGGGCATAGTTTCACTATAACTGTCTAGAAGTTTTTGCTACTCCAAAGAATGTTCTGTGGATCGGCAGCATTGTTATCTCTTGGGGACTTGTTAGAAATGCAGAATCTTGGGCTCCGCTGCAGACATACTGAATCGTAATTTGTATTGATTGCTATTACATATACATTAAAATTTGGAAACACTGTTCTACAAATGGGCTCCCTAACCCCCAGACTTTGGAGTGGTAGCATTCCGTGGTCTGTTAGGAACAGGGCTGTACAGCAGGAGGTGAGTGGCAGGTGAGTGAGGAAAGCTTCATCTGTATTTGCAGCTGCTCCTTATCTCTTGCATTACTGCCTGAGCTCTGCCTCCTGTCAGATCAGCAGCAGCATTAGATTCTCATAGGAGCACAAGCGCTTTAGTGACCTGCACATGCATGCAAGGGATCTAGGTTGCCCACTCCTTATGAGAATCTAATGCCTGATGATCTATTACTGTCTCCCACCACCCCCAGATGGGACTGTCTAGTTGCAGGAAAGCAAGCTCAGGGTTCCCACTGATTCTACATTACAGTGAGTTGTATAGTTATTTCATTATGTATTACAATGTAATAATAGAAATAAAGTTCACAATAAACGTCATGTGTTTGAATCATCCCAAACCCCTCCAACCTCCCGTCGCCCCACTGGGGAAAAATTGTCTTCCACGAAACCAGTTCCTGGTGCAAAAAGGTTGGGGACTGCTACTCTAGAACATACTATACCCAGGGCAGCATGTAGAGAGAACACAAAGTAGAGGGGGTGCAAAGGGGCTCAGGCCTGTATTCTCTTCTCCATTTTCTGTCAGTCTTGCTAAAATAATTTTCATTAGTACATGATAAGGATAAAAATGAGGTCAATTTCTTTTTCCTTTTTTTTTTTGAGACAAAATCTTACTCTGATGCCCAGGCTGGAGTGTAGTGGTGTGATCTCGGCTCACTGCAACCTCCGCCTCCCGGGCTCAAGCGATTCTCCTGCCTCAGCCTCCTGAGTAGCTGGGATTACAGGTGCCCGCCACCACACGCAGCTAATTTTTATATTTTTAGTAGACACGGGGTTTCACTGTGTTGGCCAGGCTGGTCTTGAACTCCTGACCTCGTGATCTACCCTCCTCGGCCTCCCAAAGTGCTGGGGTTATAAGCGTGAGCCACCATACCCAGCTGAGGTCAAATTTTTTAACAAGGTACGACAGCCTTGTTGAGAAACCCGACTGTGCCATGCGTAATCATTTCATTCAGTAAAAACTGAGTGCCTCCTGCGTGCCAGGCACATGTGTGGCAGCCACGGGCCCTGCATTCAGGCTTGCATGTGCTGCAGTGGAAACACACAGAGGCCGAGGAGGAGGGAGTGGTTGCTTCTGCAGGGATGGGGGCTGGAAGTTAGAAAGAAAGGTGGTCTTTGGGTGGAGTCTTGATGGATAAATCAGTCATCATAAGTTATGAATATTGCCAGGTTCTGGAGAGAGCACAAAGATGGATAAAATTTGTCTCATCCTTCAAGGACCTTATGCTTGGTTAAAGGACAAGAGACAGTGTTTAAAACTAAATCATACAAAGCACCTTGGTATTAGAGTAGAACCAGAAGACAAGGGTCTGACCATTAGTTTTTTACCTCCGTGACCTTTGACAAATTATTCCACGTTGGAACATCGGATTATTCTGTAAAATAGGGATAAAATGATATAAACATCTTCATAAAGTCATAGTGTTTTCTTGGTCGGGTGCAGTGGCTCACTCCTGTAGTCCCAGCACTTTGGGAGGCCGAGGCGGGCAGATCATGCGGTCAGGAGATCGAGACCATCCTGGCTAACATGGTGAAACCCTGTCTCTACCAAAAATACAAAAACTTAGCCCAGTGTAGTGGTGGGTGCCTGTAATCCCAGCTACTCAGGAGGCTGAGGCAGGAGAATGGCATGAACCCGGGAGGGGGAGGTTGCAGTGAGCCAAGATCACGCACTGCACTCCAGCCTGGGCGGTAGAGCAAGACTGCGTCTCAAAAAAATGAACAAAGAAAGAAAACAAAACAAAAAACAAAAATTAGCTGGGTGTGGTGGCTCACCCCTGTAGTCCTAGCTACTCGGGAGGCCGAGGCAGGAGAATTGCTTGAGCCCAGGAGGTGGGGGTTGCAGTGAGCCGAGATGGCGCCACTGCACTCCAGCCTGGCGACAGAGCAAGACTTCGTCTAAAAAAAAATTATAGTGATTTTTTTTTCTTTTTTTTTTAAACGTAGAGAGATAGGGTCTTGCCCTGTCTCCTAGGCCAGAGTGCAGTGGTGTGATTGTAGCCTATTGCAGCCTAGAACTCCTGGCCTCAAAGGATCCCCCCACCTCAGCCTCCTAGAGTCTTGGGATTACAGCGAGAACCATGGTGTGGGACCTGTAGTGCTTTTTAAAGTGAGATAACGTAGCAAAGCACTGGCTTGCAGTGGGTGTGGAATCAATGCTGTGTGGCAAAGATATTTAAAAAGTGCCAAGTGAACACCATAGATGGAAAATTGAGGAATAACAGAAAAGAGAGGGTGTTTTGAC